AGGGGAAGAGCGAGCCTGGGGGACACAATTTACCGCTACCTGTATACAGCGGACAAATTCTCCCCAGGACATCTTCTTGACTATCTCAACATAGCATCAGAACATGAAGCACTTGAGCTTGCAGACCGAGTTGAAGCTTCAATGTACACATGGAGACGCAAAGCATGTCTAAGCCATTCAAAATCCTCTTGGAACATGGTGAAAGATCTCATGTCTGACATTGATCGAACAGATAAAAATCATATTCTAGCAGAAAGGGCCGAGACCTTGCTATTTTGCCTGAAGCAGAGATACCCCGAACTTTCACAGACATCCTTGGACACTTGCAAAATCCAGTACAATCAGGCAAGTTGTGCGATCATTAATCTCACTGCAAAATATCAAATTTATTTATTTTTTCAACAGGGGTAAATGGAAAGATAAATATTGCAGGATGTGGGACAAGCAATCCTAGAGAGCTACTCAAGAGTTTTAGAAGGCCTAGCATTCAACATTGTTGCTTGGATCGAAGATGTTCTTTTCGCAGATAGGAACCAAGAACAATAGGAACTAGAGTTCAAACATCAGCGATAGATAACATATCTTAATCAAGGTGCTCTCTCTCGGATCAATGTCCTACTTTCTGTAATGCATAAGCCTTGTGAGGAATCTAGGAAATTTCATTTACTTCTGCGTGTAACAGAATGAAGATAGTAGTTCTTACATAGGAAACATCTTCTGCATAGGTGAAGAGATCTTTTGAGCAAGATTTGTACATTCTGCATCCAGTTAAGCTAGTTTCCTCAAGAATTTTTGTTATCGCGCGATTCAGTTTCAATCCACAGTTCTTTCCCCGCATACAAAATTGAACTAGAAAGAAAAGAACTTTTTTCAAACATTAATTGATAAAGTAGAACAACAGAGGATACGGAAAGCAGGAGCAATCAAACCCAAATTGTTGCCTCATCATCTATACAACAGCGGTCACTAGTCAGCAATTCAGGCAACTCTCATACTTTTCATTAGTGATATCAACATAAGATTCCAAAAAAAGCCATGCTAATGATTTTGAGTGGGTTACCACTACTACCCTGTTTTGAACATCAGTCAAAGAATCACTCTTTGAGTGTTAAAGGTAGCAAGGGCCGTTTTCTTGGAGCAGAAGAAGATTCCAAAGCATCAATCTTGGATTTGCATTTGTTATGGTCCCCTTTGTTTTCCTCCAGGCACTCCTTTAGTGCTTCAGTTCCATCTTGAGACAGTTTCTTCCTCGTGCCATCATTAGCTCCAGCATTATCACCACCACTACTCTCTCCCTTCTCATTATCCATTGTACCTGAATAATCCTTCACAATCCACACAGAACTTCATCAAGAAAGATATATTTAAAAGAAAAATAAAAAAATTATCAAGAAAGAAGCATAGAATTCTGGTGGAGTCTTGAATTTTTTTTCTGAACACATGCAGAGCAGAGCATAGCACTCAGGGAATTTGGTATTGAAGATCAAGAACCAGCTTAAGGTTTAAAGAAATTGATGAGCCCAAAACTAGATTCAAAGAAATTGATGAACTCAGTGATGTTGGTAAACTAATTTAAAAATATCGATGCTTCAGAACAATTTAAAAATATATAAAAAAAAGTTATGTTAAAACTAAAAAAAAAAGGTACTGTTATACAATGCTAAACGGGGTAACAAAGAAAGGGACTTTCAACGCGGTTGCTGGCCACACGTAGAGGCCCATCTAACGACTCCGTTATTATTCTCTCTCCAAGACTCCA